CCACGCAAATGAGGCCACGCTGGACCGGTCAGTGGCACTGGACAGAGAGGGGCCGTTTGGTTAACAGCGTCCCTCTCTCTCTCTCTCTCTCTGTGCGTGTGTGTGTGTGTCTCGTTTGTGAAGGTATGAAGTCCTGTACACCAATCTGGACACGGCTGTCGGGCCGACAACAGGTACACCTACACCTACACACACACACACACACGCCGAAGTGTGTGGATCAAGATGTCTGTGGGTGTGTGTGCTTTGGCAGTGACCATCTCCCCCACGACATTAACCGCGACACTCACCGGGCTGACGACCACACACCAATACCAGGTCAGGGTGGACACACAGAGACACTTTAGGGGATCTGTGTGTGTGTGTGTGTGTGTGCGAATGCAGATAAGCGTTCGTGCGTGCACCATCAACGAGTGCAGCAGCAACGCCGGGCCGATCAACCAGGCACGGAAATACCCACAGACATACACATATCGTCCTGCATCTCCCTCTCTCCCCGTGTGTCTGCGTGTGTGTGTGTGTGTGTCAGTATTGCGGGTCTCTCCCAGACGCGCCGGACCCCCTCTCTGTGTCGGCGAGCACTTCTAACGATATCACGCTCGGATGGACTTTCACAGGTAGGCCTGTTCGTGTGTGTGCACACCGTTTTCTATGTAGGCTGCTTGCTATGTGTGGGTGTAGGGAGCAATGGCGGCATGAGCGTCACGAGCTACTCCGTCCTATGGAGCAACAACAAGTGAGAACCACTCTCTCTCCCCCTCTCTCTCTCTGTTTGTGTGTGCTAAGTGTATGTTTGTATGTCTGTGCGTGTTTCAGCTTCGCCACGTCCACAGCCGATACGGCCGTCGGCACGTCGTATGTCTTCACCTGCGCATCCGGTGGCGGACAGGGGTACGTCAATGCATTCAACACGCACACGACACACACACACACAGAGAGAGAGAGGGAGACGTGTGTGTGTGTGTGTGTGTGGCCTTATGGGTGCAGGCTCTATTCTTTCAAAGCCGCTGCAACGACCTCTGTGGGCACCGGTTAGCACACACACTGATTCTCTGTGTGTGTAGAGACATATTGACCTGTCTGTGTGTGTGAAATGAAGGTGCGTATACGAGTGCGATCAGCTGGTTCTGCGCAAACCCCCCCACCGCCCCGTTAGCAGCACCAGCGGTGGTACAGCCACACACAGGCATAAACACATGCCGAAAGGTCGTCTTCTGACATAATCTTCATATATATGTGTGTGTTACAGGCATCTCAGAGCACGACGGCGATCACCGTGACCTTGGCGACACCGACAGCACTGCAATTGAACAACGTATGTGCAGACACAGAGAGACATATGCACGGACACACACACGTGTGTGCATCTCCCTCTCTCTCTCTCTCTCTCTCTCCATGTATCTGTGTGTGTGTAGGCGCCCCACACAGGCTATGTGCTGTACTGGAACGACGGCCTCGGCGGCACTGACTACGACGTACCTTGTGTCACACCCACACCCACACGCAAACGTTTGTTTGTGTCTGTCTGTGTGTGAAGTCGAGAACGATCACGGAGCCGTCGGCCATCACCCAGACCATCACAGACTGGAAGGGGACGCCTCTGAGTGCGGGAGACACCTACCGCATCAAATACATCTTTGTCTCCTCAGCCGGTATATAATCACACACACACAGACTGACACACACACACACACACAGAGAGAGAGAGAGAGAGGAGGGAAAGATGCGCCTGTGTCTCTGTCTGTCTGTCTGTCTGTCTGTGTAGGGGACGGCGCGGAGTCAGCCGAATTGGCGGCCATTGCTGCAACTGGTGTGTTGTCACACGCACACAGACCCCCCTGCTCTCACCACGCACACACACGTGAGTGTGTGTGGTGGTCTTTTCTCAGTGCCCGACACCCCCGCAATGCCCACAAGAGTTGTCACGACCACAAGCACGTCGGACACTGCAATCGAGGTACGCGTGAATGAAAGCTCGTCTGTGTGTGGACCTCTCCTTCTGTCAAAAAGGTGTCTTGGATAGCGCCGAGCGACGGCGGCAGCCCCCTCACGGCATACCGACTCTCTTGGAAGGTACGTCTCTCTTTTTACCTGTCTCTGTCTCTCTCCCCGTGTCTGTAGGTCATGTGTGTGTGTGTTGATGTGCGCAGTTGTCGACGGGCCCGACATTCACCGACATCGACGTGACCCAGGCGGTCACCTCCGACTCTGTGACGGGCATGCACACAGACACAAACATGGAGTTTTTTTGCGAATGCATTGATTGAGGATTCTCCGTGTCTATGCGTGTGTGTGCAGTGCCCACACCGGGCAGCTCGTATCACTTTAAGGTCTACGCGACCAACGCAGTCGGCGACTCGGCTTACAGCGACGTGCTCGTTGCTAAGGTCGCCACCGGCCCAGCCCCTTTTACACACAAATCTCTCTCTGTCTCTCTCTCTCTGTGTGCGTGTGGATAAAGGCTGCTGGCGTGCCCGACCAGCCAGGATCTCCTCCCTCTAGGGACCTGGCTTCAAGCAGGTGAGCATGTCTCTCTCTCCATGTCCCTTTGTCTCTCCTTATACCCACACCCTTCTGTGCGCAGTGTGAGTGGCGCGACGTGCAACCTCGCCCTGACGTGGACGGCTCCGACCGTTGTGGAGTTGAACGAGGGCACACTCACTGGGTAAGGGGGAGAACTGGTGTGTGGGTGTGTGGGTGCATTCCTGCGTCTGGGTGTGCAGGTATTATCTGTACCGCAATAACGGAGGCGCGACGGCCATCTCTGCCACACCGACGGTTGACCTGTCCACAACACCATCGGCCTCATCAACGACCATCACCTCTCTCACGTATACCCACACACGCAGAGAGAGAGATACACACACACACACACCCCTCACAGCCGCGAATCTCTCTCTCTCTCTCTCTCTGTGTGTGTGTGTGTGTGTGTGTGCAGGACCGGCACCACCTACAAAGTCACTCTTTCAGTGGTCAACGAGATCGGCGAGTCGCAGCAGAGCTCAGAGGCCTCACTACTGTGCGCAGTGGTGCCGGACACACCGACAACGCCCGCAGTCACCGGTGCACACACACGGACATAATCAAATATGCGAGCAGAGCACTTGTGTGTCGGGCTGTGCTGTAGGTGTTGTGAGGGGGGATGGCGGCTACCCTACGGGCAACGGGGAGATATCTTTGAGCTGGGTGGCACCCGACAACAAGTCGAGACATACACACGCACACACACACACACAGAGGGAGAGAGACGCTGCTGTATGTGCAGAGGTGATGCGATCACCAATTACCGCATCGAAGTCACCGAGACCGTCGGTTCCGGCGCCTCGGAGGTCGTCACTCTAGGTACGCCGACAATTGGCACGGGAAGCGCGACGCTTTGCTCCTTTCTTGCATGTCTGTGTGCAGGCAGCGCATCCACAAGCACCACTTTGACCGCTGCAAACTTTGGTGCCACTATAATGTTTGACTCGGCTATTCCCGAAGGGTACACACACGCACAGACAGAGAGAGAGAGAGAGAGACGTATGGTTATGGGGTCAATACCAAAAACACAGATATACCCTTACCGTGGCCGCCTACAACTCTCTCGGCTGGGGCCTTTACTCGGTAAGGAGTCTTCCACACAAAAAGGGACAACGATGTGAGTGTCTCGTTTGTGTGTATTCCGCAGGCGGCCACATCAACAGTGTACCTGCTAGAGACTCCCAACGCCCCTGCGAACCTCCGCAGAGCGGCGACAGCGGCCGTCAACACGCAGATCGACCTTGAGTGGGATGTGCCCACAGACACCGGTGAGTCTGTTCTGTCTTGGTGTCTTGTGGGTGACATTTTCTCATTCCCTCTCTCTCTCTCTCTCTGTGCCTCTGTGTGTCTGTGTGCAGGTGGTGCGGCCAACACTGACCTGACATATGAGATATACGGAGGCAACGACTGCATCACCATGGTCAGTGTTGGCGCATTCATCCGCTGCGCCTCTGATATGTGTGTGCGTGTGCAGGCCTCGTTGAGTACCACAGAAACCGGCGGCCCTGTCACCGTCACCTACACAGAGTCATCTCTCGCACCAGGGTAACAGCACACACACACGCACAGAGAAACAAAGAGAGAGGGAAGGAGAGAAGGGGGTGTGCCCACCCAATCAACACGTGCAGCACCAGTCGGTGCTACAAGGTCCGCGCCAAGAACCTCGAGAACACCTGGAGCCCCTTCTCCCTCACCGTCACGCTGAGAGCAGCACAGCTGCCAGGTACACACATGTGCCTCCCCCCCCTACACACCCGTTATCCATCTGTGTGTGTGTGTGTGTAGATCCCCCGACGGGCCTTGTGTGCAATTCCCCCGCGGGTGGTCAATTAGACATCTCGTGGACGCCGCCCGCGTCAGATGGCGGCAGCCCTCTTACTCGGTAATTAATGAGGCCAGCAACTTGATATGACCGATCACAGAATGAATGCACTATATGTGTGTGTGCAGGTATGTGGTGAGCTATACTGGCCCGGAGACCCCCGGACCCTACCTACTCAACTCTGCCACGTCAGACAGCTTCACTACCCTGATCTCCGGCGGCCCCTACACTGTGGTGAGCAGAGCCAGCCGCTGACAGAGGCACATGTCCGTCAGCCATCTCTCTCTCTCTGTGTCTGTCTGTGTGTGTGTGCAGAACTTGTATGCGGAGAATGAAGTCGGGCAAGAGCCGACAGGAGACTCATGTTCCGTCACTATCTCGTAACTGACAGACAGCCAGACACTTGGCTGACGGCTCTCGTCATAATAATAGCTATACACACCATCCGGCTTATTTGTCAATCATGGTATTTGTCAATCTATTTATCTGTTGGACGGCGGGGGGGTGGGGGGCTGTGTGTGTGTGTGTGTGTCTGTTCTTTTCACTGGACTCAATGGACGTGGCTTGCGCGTGGTTGGCTGCTTGGTTTCTGCACTTCACTCGTCCCGGAGTGAGTGGGCGGATGCATGAGACAAGCTTTATGATATGATCTCACAGCGTGAACACAGAGATATCTCCGCGGACACACTGCTATGTCTGTGGTGACCGTCCAATTGTCATGCGCATAAACCCCACACAAAAAACGCTATTTGGCTCTCATTTGATGGTCGTCTTACACACCATCTGTCTGTCTGCTGTGTCTGCGGACATACCAAAAGACACCAATCACACACGCAAAAGAGACACGGAGGGCCAAAAAAGGAGAGGCCTCACACAGCACACTGGATGAAGACACCATACATGCATGCATGTCACGTTGAGAAGCGGCATGCAGCCCTAAATGAATCTGACCTTTCGGGCCTCACTCTCACACCACAGTTAGAACACGACTCTCAGCACCTCCACTTCATCGGCCATGAAGTACGCACTGCCCCCAAAGAAAGCACTGCCACGCCCATTCCTCACTCCCACATAGCCCTCAGGCACATCCCACCAGGGGATGCCCTGACAGCAGCTGCGAATGTCATCAGCAGCAGCGCCACCCTCATAGCCCAACTCCAGCCACCCACCGCCCACCATCAGCAGTTTCGCCCCACGCACTGTCCCCTCCCGCCCGGCCACATACACTGGCCAGTTGCCGCCTTCCATCTTGGTCGGCCCCTTGGCGAAGTGGCCGGCCAGCGAGAAATGCCACATATCACAGCGGTACTTCTTCTTGCCTTTTCGGTCGTCGGGCAGCCGGATACCGGCACTGATGAAGGCGCCGAAGACGTACTTGTCCTTGCGGATGATGAACACCAGACCGCTTGCATCGCCCACACACCGCAGCAGATCGCCATACGACGACCCGTCACTTGAGGCCCTGAATGAAGAAGACAGACACGCACACAGACACAGACACACACAGAGCACACACACAAAGTCAAACGATGGACGATGTCAATGACAAGAGCAGGGTACCTGTAGATGAGTTTCAGTCTGCTCGCAGTTGTCGGTCTGAGGAACCGATAGAGTGCCGCCGACTGGAGGGCATCGAAGGTCGCACCCTCGATCACCTGCAGCGACAAACAACAGGACGTCGATGCGGCTCTCCCTCGCCATTGTGTGTATGACCTTGAGTGGGAGAAGTGACCGACCGTCGACACGAATTGCTTCCACTTCATCGGCCACGAAGTGCTCACTGCCCCCAAACAGAGCATCGCCATCCTCATCCCTCACCCCCACATAGCCCTCAGGCACACGATCGCTGTCGATGAGCTGACGGCAGCTGCGCATATCATCAGCAGCGCCACCCTTGTAGCCCAACATCAGGCGTCCCTCAATCCACCGACCGATCCACAGCTTCGCCCCGCCCACTGCCCCCTCCCGCCCAGCCACCCACACTGACTTCCTGCCATCCAGCATCTTGGTCGGCTTCTCGAAGTGGCCGGCCAGCGAGAAATGCCACCCATCACAGAAGTGGACGTTCTCGCCTTTTGGGTCGTCGGGCACTTGAATGCCATCACTCATATAGACGCCGAAGACGTACTTGTCCTCGCGGATGACCAAGACCAGGCCCTCCGTGTCGCCCACACACCGCAGCAGATCGCCATACTCTGCGCCGTCACGCGAAGCCCTGAGAACATCAGAGACGACAGAGAATGACACACAATTGATTGCAGTGTCTGTGATGTGGTTTGTGCGTCGCACCTGTACAGCAGAGTGAATTCACATTCGTCCAACATGGCGAGCGCCAAGACGGATCGGAGGGCCGCACACTCTGTCGAGCTCAGACTGCTGCCAACGATCACCTGCACACACAGAGAGGGAGGTCAGGGCAATTGTGACGATGCTGCAATCACCCCATGGGCATTCTCACTTGTGGGTCGGGCGATTGGTCGTCCTCGTCTGTCGTGCTGCGACTCGAGAGAGCCGTGATGCCATCCGGCACACCGTCAGACACACTGACGATGCCATCACCATCCTGATGAAAGTAGACAGCGGAGATATACAAAAGGCGAATCGCCGCCCTGCTGTCTGTGTCTGTCTGACCTCTGGTATGTCACTCAGGCGATCGTCGGCAGTCATTGTGAACACAGACTTGACCGACGAACGGGACAGCACCTGCACACACAAACTCACAATGCCTCCCCGTCTGTGTGGGTGCCCATTTCATTGCTTTTCACTGACCACAGACGGCGGGCCCTCTCGGTGGCTGCGTGTGTTGCTCCTGTGGATCTTCGTTGGCGGCCTCTCATTGGTCAGTCGGCCCTCTAACGGAACAATCTGAACGACGTCACAGACAGCCGAAATAGGCTGCTTTGTTGAACACATGAGTGAGCTCTTTTAATTTGCTTACGTTCATGGTGTTTGATGGCTCTGATGTCTGCGACTGTGTGTCGAGCGGCCGACCGCTGGCAGCACCGTCGTCATCTGGTGGACAGGTGGTGGTCTGAAGCCAGCCAAGTCAAGAAACAAAGGCCTCAGTTGTCGCCGTGGTGTCAGGACTAGTGTGTTACCTGTCGACTGAGGTCGGTCGTCGGTCCGATGAACCCGTCCGCCTCCCGACTTGCAGCAGCAGCGGCAGCTGGAGCTGCTGCCGACAGGTGGGTGAGGGGAATGGGTAGGGGATGTGGGTGGGGCGGATGCATTGGGAAAGGGGGATCGACAGCAGCTGCAGCGGCCGACACAGATGCCCCTTCTGCGGCCTGAAAGCAGCACCTGGTGGAGACTGCCTTGAGTGTGTAGTTCGCTTCTCCTCTCACCTGAATGTCATCCGATGTGTCAGGTCCGGGCATTCTGTTGACCCACTCCTGGACAGCCACGTGTAGCTCCTCCTCGCGCATCAGCTGCACACAAGGAGAATCACGATGCTCATGGGGCTTGCTGATCCGATGCACACGCACTATTCCATTTCCCTACCGCCATTCCATCGGTGTCGTCAGTGCCTGGTGCAGCAGCGGCAGGTGGCACAACAGAGGACGGCAAAGGACCCTGAGAAGGCAGACATGCATCGCCGAAAGGCGAATCTCTCACTGCGGGCACTCTGTTTGTCTACCTGCATATCGTTGATAACGTGAGCAAGCGATGGTGCCGGTGAGGCAGATGGCCCAGGAGGGTTCTGAAGAGATAGGGGCACGCAGACAATGAGGGGTCGATGACTCGTCGATCTGTGTGACTGATTTGCTGTATCCTACCTGCTGACATCGCTTCCTGAAGTTTTTGATCCACGTGTCGCTCGCAGAGAAATCACTGATGCCCAGCCGATTGGCAATCTCCATCGCCTTGGCTCGGATAGCCTTTGGGGGGACCTTCGTTAGGTCGTCATGGTTGGCCATCCACTGCCGCATCTCGTCCTCAATCTGCTGGTACTTGGGCTGTCTGTTGCGCTTCTTAGTCGGGTCGACGATTCGCATGCCGGCCTCTCTCTGCTTCTTGAGCTTGGCCCGCCACTGCTTGAAGCGCTTGGGTGGGATGCCTTTCTCCTTGGCGAATTGGGGCATACTGATGGCCTCTTCGCTGTCCTTTCGCCTCTCAAACTCGTCCACCAGCTGCAGCCGCTTGCCGATCGTCACCTCGCCCGTCCCACTGGCGGCTTCCTGGAAGCACACAAACAAGCCCATGATGGATGGCGGCAGACAAGGATACGGCCTCTGATCGTTCTTGCCTGAGTAGCTGCGTCATCTGCCGTATCGTCGCCGTGACAGTCAGGCTGACAGGACACGAGTCTATGGCGATGTAATAGATTCGTCAATCAACGCTACCTGCGTTGAGTTGCCGACGTGATGCGATTGTCCGAGCGGATTCGCTGCACCGGTCTGAACAGTTGCAAAGACAAAGGGTCAACACATTGGGTGCAGAAGTGATTGTGCTGTCGTATCCGCACCTGATGATGTGGGTCGTCATGATTCACTGCGGCGGTACCAGCACCACCACCGTGAGCAGCCTGTTAGAGAACGAGCAGAGCCTCACCGGCATTGATTGTGGATGCAGAAGCTCTGCTGCTGCACGCACCTGTGCCTGGTTGTCGTCATGATTGTGATGGTCCTCGGCCGATGTGATGGCCCACATCCCTAGCCACATCCAATCGGCCTACACACACGAAGCACAGACACAGACAAATGAATGAATCAAAGCGGTGACGTGCGGCGACACAGCACACTACCTGTGCGAAACTGTCCCATTCACTCATCAGAATGCCTCCCTTTTGCCGAAACGATGAATCACAGTCAGATCGCCGCAGCTCGCAAGAAGTCGAAGGGTAGAGGGCTGTTTGGTTGCTCAATGAACTCCCTAGCTGTGTGCTGTTGTGTTGGTTGCAGGTCTGTCCTCGCGCCTAGGGCAAGACAAGATCTCCGCAGCGCCGAAGCAGCAGGGTCGTGGGAAGCGGTCGCACACACTGTCTACTGCTCAGGAAGAGACAACCGAGGCAAGCAACACAGAGCTTTCAATTCTGTGACTGGCTGCTGGCTGAGAGTAAATTGACAGGCCCGGCTTACTAACGGAGATGGGTCTCTTACCACAGCGGTGCCGCTTAACGAGCGTCCTTCTCTCTGCGGCCGTTGCAGTGCTCGTCACTGTCATGTGGTCGTCCTTCGCCCGAGCACTGCCGCGGCTCAGTGCATCGTTTCCTCGCCACTCATGTGCCATCGGCCCAGCAGTGCTTGCCGGCCACATCAGCAGCACCAACCAGCACCAGCCCAAACTATCTGCCGCATTCACTGAAGAGGACCGTCACGCCGATGGCGCCCAGAGGCCGGCCAGTGAGGTGAGAGCCATCGACCAGGTCGGCCGTGTGTGCGACGCCTACCTGCACGACAAGGGAGAGACCCCGCTGAGCCTCACGGTGGTTGCGGCCGCATACACCGTCCTGATGCCGTTGCTGTTGTCGGCGGCTGAGGGCACTGAGGGGTGTGAGGTGACTGTGGACGCCCACCCCATCGGCTTCTACAGAGTGGACGTCAGGGGCACTGAGAAACACAACCACAAGAACCGCATACACGTGGCCGTCACAGGTCAGTCAGTCGACGCCACTCGTGTGTGTGTGTGTGAGCCTCGTTGATTTGTCTGATGGGTGCAGGTCATTTGAAGGATGAGTTTGTGCACGAGCATCGCGAGAACTCGGCCTCGTTCAACGTGGGCGGCGGCTACACCAACTGATTCTACACGGCCAAGCTGCCAGGCGCCACAATGGGCGGCGCCTTCTTCCCGACTGCACACGCGGCCAATGGCGGCGCCAAGAGGTTCCTGCGCTGATTCCGTCGCGGCTTCACTGAGGACGGCAGCCACGAGAACATCGACCTGGGCATCGCTGAGCTGTCTGCCGTGATGGGGTTCTCATACGGCGGGGCGGCGGGTATGACTTCTACTACATGGAAAAGGACAAACTGCACCGCCTCGACAACTACGGTGAGTGAGCCAGCAACTGTGATGACCATTGATTGAGACATCTCGATGTCTCATTGCCGTCAGATGCGCTTCACACGGTGTCCAACCACACGAGAGGCTTCTCTGACAAAGGCCGCAGCACGGTGCAGTTCCCCATCGACGACATGGCCCCCGACCTGGTCAGCCAACACACGGCCACACACACGAAAGTGACACACAGCAGTGTGTGGATGTCCCTCTCTGTATGTGTGTGTGGTGTCAGGATGGCCATCGTGTGCCGAGTGCCGAGGAGACTGCTTTGGTCAAGGAGCGGCTGCGTCAGGTGGCGCCCAGGAGCGCCGATATCTTCGAGAGCTTTGGGGGCGACTACGCCGCCATGACCAAGATGCCCATCGATGAGGGCTGCAGACACATCATAGCGGTGGTCGAGGAACGCCTCACCAAGTGAGAAGGAAACACCGACCAATGACTCTCTGACACGCACACAGAATGAATGTGTGTGTGCAGGGTGCCAATGGAGTGGCTGACGCCCGACGGCAGCGTCCAGGCCGGCCGCCTGCCGACGACAGTGTCCATGTTCTAGCGGCCGCTACTCACACACATAGACACTGTTTTTTGTGAGACTCTCTTGACTCGTTTTTTCGATCTCGTCCGGTGGATACAGAAAAGCCCACTGCCTTCGGCCGTGGGCTTTTCATTCTGCGCGTATATGAGCTGCTGAGCTCGAGCGACACAGCAAGCTGAGAACGGCTGTCCGGCGGCCATGTTATGTACATATTTGCGAATTTTTCCAAGGGGATTTGAGGGCTTATAGAGGCCAGCAAAACATGCACGCAGAGTGACAAAATGACCTCCCGCATGTCATTGAATGCAGCTGTCATTGAGTGCATGTGTATGGATGTCGATCACACATGTCCGTACAAAATAAAGCAATGGTGGGATACACAATCAGTCATTGAGTGTCTGATTCTGTGTCTCTCTCTTCACTGAGACATTCGCATGACTTTGTTCGACCAAAACAGACGAGAAACAGACAAAAAACTGTTGGCACAAAAGTTTGATAGGCGACAACACACACAGACATTAATACATAGACACACACAGACCGACACACAGTCGACTGCCGCATGGATGAGTGAATGCACGTTCTGCCGGAAGTCGACGAATCAGTTGTATGGCGAACACGGCCGCTGCATACAACAAAGCAGGAATGTCCATCACACTCAACCTGCACAAACGCACACACACGCACACATGCACACACATGTTTGGAGACACCAACATCGACAAACGGGCGTGGTGATTCTCTTGGTCTTATTCACTGAGAACTGAGATGAGCCTCTGAGTTGACCAAGTCCGTAAAGCTCTTGACATTCTCGTGTGGGTGGGAAGCCGCACTCGGTGCTTGAGGCGGGTGGGGCAGCGCTGCGCGACACGCCAAAGCAGATGCTCCAGCAGACGCATGCAGGCGTGCAGGGCACAGATGCCTCGTCCATGACGAAAGCTGCCCGCCCGCCGCCGCTGGAGGGCCGGTGGGCACACGGCAAGTGAGGTCGCCGACCTTGATCATGGGCACTGCGTCCTCAGTCGCCGGGGCGCTTGCGACAGCTCGTTGGTCGAGGAAGTCGACAAAGCAGTCGTAGGCAAGAGGAGGCTGATGTCTGCAGCTGTTGCCGCACGAGCACCCTCGCGTCGTGTGCGGGGCAGGACGCCGTGTGGCTTGAGCTGCAGCAGCTTGACCAGGTCCGACACGACAGCAGACGACTGCCCGTCACAGCCAACCTGCCACACACACACACACACAGAGAGAGAGAGAGAGACACAATTCCATCCATCCATCCACCCATCTGTCCATCCATCACTGCTTGCAGTGTGTGCCATAATGTCTCCTTCACTCACGGCTTTTGTGTCGGGGCGGGGCTGATTGCCATAGACCTTGGTATGAGCGATGCGAGCACGTAGGTCGAGCTCTCGCTCCTGCTTTTGCAGTGCGATGGCTCGCCCGGTGGGGTGGGCGGCTTCGGCGGCACCTCTTCCTCCTCTTCTATCTCGTCGACGGGCCCGTCGTGCATATCCTCGTCCACCTCATCGTCCCATCCCCTGCCCTCTCCCCCCAGACTGCCTCGTCCCCGCTTCTTGGCCGTGCCGACCTCAGCATCGCCGTCCTCTCCCCCCTCCATCTCGTCCAGGTCGGCGTGGCGGTTGGCCTCCTGCCCGTCGTCCAGCTGGTCCATCAGGGCGTCGTCCTCCGCCCCTTCGCCAGCATGCTGATGGACGTCAGGCTCCGAATGACGGTCGGACTCGTCATCTGAACGGTGAAAGAGGTGCAGTGAGTGATTGAGTGAATGAAGTCGCAGTGCAAGAGTGAAATGACTGACAATCATTGCTTACCGTGCGACTCCGCCTTCAGGCGCTTGTTCGCGCCTGAGTGAGAGGCAGACACATGGACAAGTGAATGAATGGTGTCGTTGAACAGTGCTGCTTCTCTCTCTTGGTTTCTCTGCTCACCGGTTGTCAATGAGCGGCTGCGCTTTTTGGGTGGCTGATAGGCAGATGTGAAAGGCTTTCCTCTGAGGCCTTTCCTCTTCTTTGGACCCATGGTGGCTTAGAATACACAGAGAACGCCTTAGAAGGATACCAACGCTCTTTATTGCTCCTGTCCTGCAGCTGCTTGCTGTAAATGCATGCGTCAGGGTGGGGGTGGGGGGCGCCTCTGCAAGCTCCGTCTCAAGTGGATGCTTTTCCGCCATCGCCTCTGATGGATCTCTTCCATACATACACGTATACATGACATGGCCGTCGAAAAATGCTAACAACTCAACGGCCTGTGGGTCCCAGGCCACGATTCTCGGTGAGCAGACGCTTCACTCACTTCCCCACATATATAGCGTGGGGATTCCCGAGAAATGCCTTCTGTGTGGACTTCTCCTTAGGTCGACGTGACGATCTATGTGTCCATCGACACAAAAGCGCTGTGTCCTCGGCTGCTTCTTGGCCAATCGGCCTGAAACTCGGCATAGGAAGGCCCCTGAGGGTGCCTGACAACCGACAGAACTCGGATTTTGGCGATGGGTGTTGTGTGTGGAGAAGCTGGTGGGTCGATATATACGTACACATGACATGGCCGTCGAAAAATGCTAACAACTCGATGGTTTGTGGGTCCCAGGCCACCATTCTCGGTGAGCAGACGCTTCACTCACTTCCCCACATATATAGCGTGGGGATTTCCGAGAAATGCCCTCTGTGTGGACTTTCCCTTAGGTCGACGTGACGTTCCGTGTGTCCATCGGCACCAAATCGCTAACAACTCATCGGCTTCTTGGCCAATCGGCCTGAAACTCGGCATGTGAGGTCCTCTCACCAAGACGGAAATTTATAGCGTGGGGATTTCCGAGATATGGTCTGTGTGTGGCTGGAGGGCCTCACGCCATACAAATATGTAACCGACGTGTACAAGGTGGCCGTTGAACAGAGCCTCTCAGTTTGAAGTCGAGTGAGACAGTGAGGCTGTCGTTTCCTTCTGCCTGTCGATGGTGTTTTGTAGTACTTCCGAGCTGTTTGCAGTGTTTTTTCATCATAGCTGAAGACACACAGCGATGCGACAGAATGAGATGTTACAGATGCCCGGCAGAGACGGCCAATCGCTTTATTGTCGAGTGAGGTGTTCGCTGTGTGTGTGGCGATGTGATGGTGACGCGCAGATATGGAGAATGGTGACGTTGCTTTGCTGTGAATGTCCTGACTGATGCCGGTGTGTGATAGTGCTGGCTGCATTCACTGCAGGTTGCATTTGAGGATCAGATACTGCAGTGTCACGTCTGTGTTGTCCATCCAATCGTGTGCGCGGGGAACCCTGACTGACCCACACATCCATCGATCCCACTGTCTGACTCTCTATCTCTCTGTCTGTGTGTGTGTAGGTTGTTCCGTCAGCGTGACGGCTGTGAGCTGATGGGAAGGGTCATCATTACGGGTGACGATGAGGACCCCGGCGTGGCCGGTATGCGCCTGGGCACACACACACAACACCCACGGCACACGATTGAATGTGTTGTGTGTGCGCCGTGTGTGTCTGTGTGTCAGTGTTCGGCTTCAGCGAGCTGCACTCGACCAAGCCCCCATTCCTCTCATTCAAGGCACCACCACCACCAGCAGCCCCACCACAGCCGGCAACGGTCAATGTCGATGTCAATGTGACCATGACGCCATCTCCCGCTCCCTCCCCTGCTGCTGTGGCTGGTGCTGCGACAGTGGCTGGCCCGGCCCCCATCCAGCAGCAGCAGCAGCAGCACACGAGTGGAGAGGACAAGAGCTCGGTGGGGGACTCCCTTCTGATGACACCTGCTGCTGCCAAGACCGATGAACATTCGCCCCCTGGGCCGCTCCGCCTCCCCGACAACGGGCGAGAGAGAGACCGGCCAGTGTCGACTATGATGCAGCCAACTGTACCTTTATCGTCATCCCCTGTGCGCCAACAACGGCCGCTGCAGCTGTCAGCCAGCGATCTCTCTGTGCCGCTGTTCGGTCGACGTGGCCTCTTCTTGGAGACAGGGAGGGAGAGCTCATCGGGGGAGGTTGAGGGCTCCATATGGTATGAGGCGCGCTTCCGTGCTCGGGCCGACAGGATGCCCGGCCGTCGTCGGGCTATGTCGCTGCTCACCTACCAAACCAAGACATCCAGAAGTTCCCGAAGTGAGCACTCACCCTCTACACACAAACACACACACACGGATGGTTACATTGTAGCATCTCTCCCCCTCTCTCTCTCTGTGTGTGCGATGTGTGTGCAGCGGTCCGGAGTGGGAGCCGCGTGACGGTGCTGCCGACGATCTTCGAGCGGGAGACTTCCGGCCGGGCGGATGGCACTAGTGAGCCCGCGGCAGCACCACCAAGTGACGACACATGCGGCAATGGGGACGATACGCAGCAACAGCACAAAGCCGAAGACAGCACTGAGGTTTTCTTTGATGTCACATGATGGTGGATGGATGAGACGAGGGCTCTTTCTTGCGTGCATGGGTGGCGGATGAGCGTGTGTGGGTGTGGGTGAGTGGGTCAGGTGGTGCGGCTTATCCACGTCATTCACCCATGGTATGACGTGTCTGACGAGTCTTTTTGGATGCGGCCAGCCATTCATTCACCGGTCCAATGGATTGCTTCGATGAGTCACTTACTTGTGTGTCCTCAAACGTCCCCAGGTCACATCGGATGACTACGCATACACGGACACGGACACGCACACACACACACACACACACACGTGTGCATAAAAAGCCATTTGGATGTCATCTGATGGACGTCTCTCTCACACCGTCTGTCTATCTGCCTGTCTGCCTGCACCTATGTGGCGTGGTGTGTCCGCATATCGGATGAGAGCCAAACGGCGGCTTGTATGGTTCATGCGCACGGCACATGGCCGGCCAGCAGACATAGACATCTCTAAAGCGTGTCGACTATCGCACAGGGGATAAGGTAACAAAAGCAAAGCGACGCCGCTGTCATGATGAGTCAATCACGGAAATCGACACCATTCTAGCTTTGTGTGCTCACACCGCACACAGAACGAAAACGCTCCACGACAAAAAACCAATTGCTTCTCTCTGCCGGGCAGCTACATGCTCATCCAGGTCATCCATGGCATCTATGGAAAAATGCTGCCGTTGTTGTCTGCGCGTACGCGTCGCCATCACTTGTCACACACAAACACGCCCACACGACAAGAAAGTCACCAATCGTCTCTGCCGGCAGCTACAACCTGCCAACAGCACTGAAGCACTATACAACACCACACACAGACAGAGGGACAGGAAAGCCCACACTCAGCAATGATTTCGTGCAGAATAAAGGAAGGAAGAAAGAGGGCATTTGAGCCTCATACGAACGTGGAAGACACAATCAGACGAGACACGCTCGGGCAGGCTGTCAACTGACATTCACTCTACCGCACAAAGCAACCAGCTACGGATCTCTGACACGGGCACACACACGACACATGGACACCGAAGCCGACCAGAGGTATGCCTCATGTTTCCCTCAGTCACGATATTGAAAAAGAGAAGCAAGATTCATGAAGACAATGGCGTGAATTGATCCGCTGCGATTGGCCCACTCGTCGTCAATCATTGTCAGTGGGTTCAGAAATTGAGGCACTCGCAAGTGCGTCGCATCAGTGAGAGAAAGTGTGGCCCCTACCGGCAGGAAGAGGCGGATGGCTCAAGCAGACCCACACCATGTGGCTGTCATATGATGGACGGCTGCTCTGCGGACACACCACACCACGAAGGGGAAAAAAGCATAAAGCTGGATAATAATAATAATAATAATAGTAAAAGCACCACACATTCATGCTCACACCAATGTCAGCACCTCCACTTCATCAGCCATAAACTCCTCACTGCCCCCAAAGAGAGCATAGCCATAGTCATTCCTCACCCCCACATAGCCATCAGGCACAACCCAGTTGAGGATGAGCTGACGGCAGCTGCGCACATCACCAGCAGCGCCACCCTCATAGCCCAAACACAGCCACACACCGATCCACAGCTTCGCCCCATCCACTGTCCCCTCCCGCCCGGCCACACACACTCTCCATTTGCCCTCCCACACCTTGGTCGGTCCCTTGGCGAAGTGGCCGGCCAGCGAGAAATACCAAACATCACACTCGTAGCCGTTCTCGCCTCTCGGGTCGTCGGGCAGCCTGATGCCGGCACTGATGAAGGCACTGAAGACGTACTTGTCCCTTCGGATGACGAACACCAGGCCGGTCGCATCGCCCACACACCGAAAAAGGTCATCAAATGACGGCCCATCACGCGAAGCCCTGAGGAAGAGAGAAAGAGAAAGAACAGACACACACACGCGCGCGCAGACAGACAGATTAAAGTGATGGACGAAATCGATGGTACGGCAACCGCACCTGTAGATGAGCTTCAGTCTCCTCGCAGTTGTCGGTCCAACGAAGCGACAAAGTGCTGCCGACTGAAGGGCATCGAAAGTCGCACCCTCGATCACCTGCAGCGACAAACAACAGGACGTCGATGCCGCTCTCTCTCGCCAATGTGTGTATGACCTTGAGTGAGAGCAGTGACCGGCCGTGGACACGAATGACCTCCACCTCATCGGCCATGAAGTGCTCACTGCCCCCAAACAGAGCACCGCCATCCTCATCCCTCACCCCCACATAGCCATCAGGCACATCATCGATGGGATCATCGCTGGAGATGAACTGACGGCAGCTGCGCATATCATCAGCAACGCCCCCCTCATCGCCCAACCAGAGCCCCACACCAAGCACACCGATCCACAGCTTCGCCCCACCCACTAATCCCCCCCGCTCGGCCACGAACACTGGCCATTTGCCTTCCCACAACTTGGTCGGTCCCTTGGCAAAGTGACCGCTCAGAGAAAAAAACCACACGTCACAGCCGTACGTGTTGTAGCCTCTTGCGTCGTCGGGCAGCTGCAGGCCACCGCTGATGAAGGCGCCGAAGACGTACTTGTCCCTGCGGATGACGAACACCAGGCCACTCGTGTCGCCCACACACCGCAGCAGATCGCCATACTCTGCGCCGTCACGCGAAGCTCTGAGAACATCAGAGGCGACAGAGAACGACACATGATTGATTGCAGTGTCTGTGATGTGGTTTGTGCGTCGCACCTGTACAGCAGAGTGAATTCACATTCGTCGAACATGGCGAGCGCCAAGACGGAGTGGAGGGCCGCACACTCAGCCTCACTCAGACTGCTGCCAGCGACCACCTGCACACACAGAGAGGGAGGTGAGGGCAATTGTGATGCTGCAATCACCCCATGGGCATTCTCTCTCTCACCTGAGGGTCGGGCGATTGGTTGTCCCCGTCTGTCGTGCTGCGACTTGAGAGAGCCGTAATGTCATCTGGCACACCGTCAGACACACTAATCGCATCACCATCGTCCTGACAGCAAGAATGACAACAAGTGAATTGCGGCCCTGTTTGTCTGCGTCGCGTCAGTCTGACCTCTGCTATGTCACTGAGGCGATCGTCGGCGGTCATTGTGAATACAGACTTGACCGATGAACGGGACAGCACCTGCACACACAAACTCACAATGCCTCCCCGTCTGTGTGGGTGCCCATTTCACTGCTTTTCACTGACCACCGACGGCGGGCCTTCTCGGTGGCTGCGTGTATCAGTCCTGTGGATCTTGTTTGGCGGCCTCTCATTGGTCAGTCGACTCTCTGACGGCGCCATCTGAATGGCAAAATAGACGGGCAGAAGAAGCTGTCACGTACACAGATGGATGACCGGTCTTGTCTTACTTACGCTTATGGTGTTTCGGTCTGACGTCTGCGATTGCTCGTCGAGGGGCCGATTGCTGGCAGCAGCATCGTCGTCTGGTGGGCAGGTGGTGGTCTGCAGCCAGCCAAGTCCAGACAGACAAAAGGCCTCAGTTGCTGCTGTGGTGTCAGCGCGCTGAGTGCATTACCTGTCGGCTGACGCCAGGGATCGGTCCGATGAATCGATCCGCCTCCCGACTTGCAGCAGCAGCAGGAGCTGAGTGTGCTGCCGACTGGTGAGTGAGGGGCCTGGGTGGGGGATGGGGGTGGGGTGGCTGCATAGCCGACACAGGCGCCTCCTCTGGGGTCTGAAACGAAAAGCAGTCGGGAGAGTGCCTTAAGAGTGTCTAGTTGCGCCTCACCTCCTGGACAGCCGCGTCGAGCTCGTGCTCGCCCGGCGACTGCACACAAAGACAATCATGATGCTTCGGGACTCGGTCATCTGATGTACACGCACTCTTTCCCTTCTTACTGTCCTGGCATTGGTGCCGTCAGTGCCTCCTCCTGCTGCTGCTGCAGCGACAGGTGGCTCAGAAGACGGCAAAGGAATCTGAGGAGGCAGACATGAATCGTCAGAGGGCGAATCTCTCACTGCGGGCACTCTGTCTGTCTACCTGCATATCGTTCGTATCCTCAGCGAGAAATGGTGCCGGTGACTCAGACGGCCCGGGAGGATCCTGAAGAGATAGGGGGCACGCAGACAATGAGAAATCGATGAACCCTGGATCTGTGAGAGTGATTTGCTGTCTGTCCCACCTGCTGGCACCGCTTCCTGAAGGCCTTAATCCACGAGTCGCTCGCCGAGAAGCCAGTGATGCCCAGCCGGATGGCAGTCGCGACCGCCTTGGTCCTGATGGCCTTCGGGGGGACCTTCGAGGGGTCCTCATGGCCGGCCATCCACTGCCGCATCTCGTCCTCGATCGGCTGGTACTTGGGCTGTCTGTTGCGCTTCTTGTTTGAGTCGATGACTTCTACGCCTGCCTCTCTCTGCTTCTTGATGTCAATGCACCACTGCTTAAATCTGGCAGGCGGGATGCCATTCTCCTTGGCGAACTGAGGCATCGAGATGGCCTCTCCGTCTCGCTGGCGCCTCTCAAACTCACTCACAAGCTGCAGCCGCTCGCCGATTGTCACCTCATCTGCATTCTTTCTGCACGCCTGAATGTGAACACACAGACATGGCGGCGACGAGGAGTTGCACGTGTCGGAGAGTGGGTGGATCCTTCTACCTGGGAGTCTGATCGGTGGCCTGTTCGTCGTGATGTGTCCACAGACGTGGCACGACGACGTGATGATCTGCGCTGCAAAGTGCGGGGTGTGGGGTGATGCTAACAATACACATACGAACACTGACAGATAGAGTTGCTGACAAAAGGAGAGTGCATACCTCAGCAGCGGAATGAGTGTGCCGGGTACGCGGCAATGGGTAGAGTGGTGGCCGGCCCGTCGTCGCCGCGTAGGTGACAACTGAAGACAACACAACCGACCAACGATGAGCTGCAACAGACTGATGATTATGTAGCTTACCGTCGAGCGAGTCCGTCGGGACTCCCAAACATACCCCCGCAGCCACATCGGCAGCGATCTGCTCGAGAAAAAATTGAGGCCACCCCGGTGGCGGCTGCAGATACACACACACGAGGACCGACAGATGTGAGGCAGACAGAGAGCACCATAATGTGCACCTGGAGAGCAGCAGCCGTGTCACCACTCAGCCCAGCACCGAGGGCAGCCTGAGAAACAATCGTCACACGCCAATCAAAGTGGTGCCATAAGAATCATTGCACCTTACCTGCGGCTCATCGCCGTCGTGATGCCCTTCCTCGACAGCCCTTGGCCCATCACACTGGACAACCAAACGACAAGCAACACACAGAGAGATGATTAGGTGAAAGAGTGATGAGTGGCAAGACAACACGTCACCTGTGTGTGAAGGTTGCCAGGGTCGCTCATCGTTTGCGCTCTTTTCCTCGAAGCAATGGGATGCGATCGGCGGGAAGGTGGGAGGCTCAGCTCGCTGACGCCCGATGAAGCTGTGGGCGATAGCGTGACTGTCTGTGGCTGTTGTCTTGCCTGCAGGCCTTCTCGTGCGAGCAGACGGCAAGATCTCCCCAATCTGTGTGGACTGGAAGCTTCTACGCGCTGCTTTGGCTGCGTGGCTGGCGGTGGTTGTTTGTGGGCCGAATGAAGGCGACAGAGAGGTAAGAGGAGGCGGCTGCTTCTCACCTGGTGTTCACTGTCGGTTAGGCTCGTGGCAGAGTTATGGGACGGTCGCACTGCCATTGGTTTGCCGTGAAGAATGCACCATGACGGTCTCACACACACAGATGACAGAGAGAGAGAAAGGGATGGGTGTCTGTCTGTCTGTCTGTCTGTCTGTTTGTGGATGTATTGTAGATGTGCGTGATCTGCCCAAGGCGACCGGCGCGCAAAGTCCCATCTCGCGACCGATCAGGTAAGTGAGTCCATCCATCCTTCCCTCCCTCTCTCTGTCTGTGTATGCAGGTTGTTCCGTCAGCGTGACGGCTGCGAATTGATGGGACGAGTCAGCACCCCATTGCCGGCGTGGCCGGTAAGGACCCACTCCCCCTCCCACTAAGCCCCCATTTCTCTCCTTCAAGAGCCTCATCGCCCCGTCGCAGCCGCCAGCACAGTCATCACAGCAGCACACCGACAACGACAGCGGCAACACAACAACAGCAGAATCAGCACCAGCCCCACCACAGCCGCCACAGCCGGAAACGGTCAATGTCGATGTCAATGTCACCATAACGCCCTCCCCGTCCCCTGCTGTCCCTGCTGCTGGTGGTGGTGGTGGTGACGGTGCAGATCCTTATCTCTGTGAAGACGTCCCAGCGGCAGCACCACCGCCACAGCACCCACAACACGCCCCTGCTGCAAGTGTGACAGCCACAGCAGCAGAGATTGGTGGGCTCGGTGACGACGACACGGCATCGCTGACCGACAAGGCCGCCCCTGAGCCTGCCGTCGCTGTGGCTGCTGCAGCTGCTGCTGCGACAGTGGCTGGCCCGGCCCCTATCCATCAGCAGCAGCAACAGACGAGTGGAGAGGACAAGAGCTCAGCGGGGGACTCCTTTCTGATGCCGCCTGCTGCTGCAAAGACCGATGACCATTCAGACGATGACCATTCGTCCCCTGGGCCCCTCCACATCCCTGACAACGGGCGAGAAAGAGACCGGCCAGTGTCGACTATGATGCAGCCGACTGTACCGTTATCGTCATCCCCAGTGCGCCAACAACGGCCACGGCAGCTGTCGGCCAGCGATCTCTCTGTGCCGTTGTTTGGTCGACGTGGCCCCTTGCTGGACGGAGGGAGAGAGAGCTCATCGGGGGAGGTGGAGGGCTCTTTATGGTATGAGGCACGATTCCGTGCTCGGGCCGACAGGATGCCCGGCCGCCGTCGGGCTATGTCGCTGTTTACCTACCAAACCAAGACATCAAGGAGCTCCCGAAGTGAGCCCTCACCCCCTACACACACATGGATGGTGATATCATCCCTCTATCTCTCCCTGTGTGTGTGCAGCGGTCCGGAGTGGCAGCCGCGTGACGGTGCTGCCGACGATCTTCGAGCGGGAGACTTCCGGCCGGGCGGATGGCACTAGTGAGCCCGCGGCAGCACCACCCAGTGACGACACATGCGGCAATGGGGACGATACGCAGCAACAGCACAAAGCCGAAGACAGCAATGAGGTTTTCTTTGATGTCACATGATGCTTTGCTGGGTGGACTGCGTGTATGCATGGCAGAGCAGAGAGTCAGTCAGGTGGTGCGCTGTATCCATCCGTCCGTCCGTCTGTGCCGTCATTCACTCGTGGCATGACTGACATGTCTGGCGAGTGAGTATTTTTTGATGCAGCCAGCCAGCCATTCATTCAGTGGAAGGATTGTTTCCATGAGTGACTTACTTGTGTGTCCTTAAACGTCCCCGATGAACACATACACAGACGCACACACACACACACGCGTGTGTGCACAAAATGCCATTTGGCTCATCCAATGGACGCCTCTCTCACACCATCTGTCTGTCTGTCTGTCTGTCTGCCGTATGCGGACACACCACATCGCACCAAATCAATCAATAATGAATCTCTCTGTGTCGTCATTATTCATTCATCAGTGGCTTTGCCCTGCAGCGGCAGAAATATTTTTTGATGAAGCCCATGGACTCACAATGGACCACACCTGCGTGTCCTTGAAGTGTGGGCGTCCTTAAGTGGCCACATGGGACGACTACACACACACACCAGCCATCTGTCTCTCATCTGATGGACGTCTCACCCACACACTGTCTGTCTGTCTGTCTGCTTTATCTGCGGACAGACCACATCGCACCAATGACGTGGACACACCGAACACAGAGGGCCGAGAACAGAGAGGCCTCACAGCTGAATAAAGGCAATACGCAGACAGCCATCCGAGACCCCTCAAGTAATCTGACCTTTCGGGCCTCACACTCACACCACAGTCAGCACCTCTATCTCGTCAGCCATGAAGTGCTCACTGCCCCCAAACACAGCATTGCCACGGTCATCCCTCACCCCCACATAGCCCTCAGGCACATACTGCCTGGGAATCGACTGACGGCAGCTGCGCATATCATCAGCAGTGCCATATCCCAAACATAGGCACCCACCGATCCCATCTATCCTCAGCTTCCCCACTGTCCCCTCCCGCCCGGCCACATATACTAACCTCCTGTCATCCAGCATCTTGGTCGGCTTCTCGAAGTGGCCGCTCAGAGAGAAATCGTACACATAACAGGAGTAGTCGTTGTAGCCTTTTGGGTCGTGGGGCAGCTGGATGCCGGCACTCATATAGACGCCGAAGACGTACTTGTCCTTGCGGATGACGAACACCAGGCCCTTCGTGTCACCCACACACCTTAGGAAATCATCGAACGATGGCCCATCACGTGTGGCCCTGCACATAGAAAGGCGGGAGAGAGAGAGAGAGAGAGAGCGATGGACGATATCAATGGTCCAGGACAACCGCACCTGTAAATGAGTTTCAGTCTGTCCACAGCTGTCCGTCCGACGAAGCGATAGAGTGCCGCCGACTGGAGCGGATCAAAATCTGCACCCTCCATCACCTGCAACGACAAACAACAGGACGTCGATGCCGCTCTCTCTTGCTAATGTGTGTGTGACCTTGAGTGAGAGCAGTGAACGGCCGTCGACACAAATCACCTCCACTTCATCGGCCATGAAGTACTCACTGCCCCCAAACACAGCATCGCCATACTCGTCCCTCACCCCCACATAGCCATCAGGCACAAGACATCCGGCGATGGACTGACGGCAGCTGCGCATATCAATAACAGCGCCACCCTCACATCCCAACCTCAGCCCATCGATCTCCAGCTTTCCCCCCCAATTCACTGTCCCGTCTCGCCCCGCCACCCACACAAAGATGCCACCCCCCATCTTTGTCGGTTCATTGAAGTGGCCGGCCAGTGAGAAATTCCTCACATGACAGCAGTATCCCTTCTCGCCTTTTGGGTCGTCGGGCAGCCGGATCCCGCCACTGATGAAGGCGCCGAAGACGTACTTGTCCTTGCGGATGATGAACACCAGGCGGTTCGCATCGTCGACACACCGCAGCAAATCACCATACAGTGGCCCGTCACGCGAGGCCCTGTGAGTACGCGAAAAATGGAAGGGACCAAATGCTGCTAATTGGAGTCCTTGTGTGTGCTGTGTGTCGCACCTGTACAGCAGAGAGAATTCACATTCGTCGAACACGGATGGGACGAAGAGGGAGCGGAGGGCTGCACACTCAGACTCACTCAGACTGCTGCCAACGACCATCTGCAAGCAACGAGAGAGGTGAAGAACTGGGCTGATTCATGCCAATGGAGATTCTCACTTGGGGATCATGCGACTGGTCATCCTCGTCTGTCGTGCTGCCAGTTGAGAGGGCCGTGGTGTCAGCCGCCGCACCGTCAGATATGCTTATGACGTCACCATCGTCCTGATACAAGTGAATGAGGATATACGAATGAATTGCGGCCCTCTTTGTCTTAGCTGCCTGTTGTCTGTCTGACCTCTGGTATGTCACTGAGGCGATCGTCGGCAGTCACTGTGAACACAGACTTGACCGACGACCGAGACCACACCTGCACACACAAACTCACAATGCCTCCCCGTCTGTGTGGGTGTCCATTTGATTGCAGTCCACTCACCACAGACGGCGGCCCCTCTCGGTGGCTGCGATTCTCATCCTTGTGGATCTTGGCTGGCGGCCTCTCGTTGGTCAGTCGACTCTCTGACGGTACCATCTGCACGGCAACAGGGACAGATCAAACAAGGCGCTTGTTCGCCAGCACATGAGTGTGCCCTGTGGTTTGCCTACGCTCATGGTGTTTCTCCCTGATGTTTGCGATTGCTGGTCGAGCGGGATATCAGTGGATTGCTGGTGCTGCTCGCAGTTGCTGTTGTGGTCGAAGGTGACAATGGCGCACGGGAACCATCGGGCGTGTCCGGCGTGGGCGCCCTTGATGCAAGTGCCGTACATCCAGCCCTTGCTGCCGCGGCTGTCCGTGTGCGTCACAGACACTCGGTCACCGCAGCTCAGCAGCAGCAAGGCAGACTGACAGCCCTCCGGGTGAGAAGGGGGGTAAAAATCTGAGCACACAACCAAACACACAACAACGTGTCGTGTGTGACATCCATCTTTGTGTGCAGCCAGCCGCACCTTCTGTGACGGTGCCGATGGCGGGTCTGGTCAGCTCGCACGGTGTCGGTGGCGCACTGTCGTCATGCTGTCCTGCGGGCTTGTGGCGGCTCGCAGGAAACGGGCTACGAAGACACACACACACACGCACACACGTGTTGCTCAGGTGATGTCCGTACCTCTCGTTGGTCAATCGGCTCTCTGAGGGTGTCATCTGAACAACGTAAGGGACAATCAAATCAGCTACCGGTCCGCCAGATAGATGAGCACTGTTGGTTTGCTTACGCTCATAGTGTTTCGCCCCGAGTGCAGCGACTGCTGGTCCAGCGGTCGATCGCTGACAGCAGCAGCATCGTCGTCTGGTGGGTAGATGGCGGTCTGCAATCAACACAGCAGACACAAAGGCCATTTCTGCCGCAGCGTCAGCTCGGCGTCACTGACCGGTCCAATGAAGCCATCCGCCAGCCGAAGTGCATCAGCAGCCGACTGGTGAGTGAGGGGCCTGGGTGGGGGATGGGGGTGGGGCGGAGGTATTGGGGAAGGGGGATGGGCACTGGCGGCAGCAGCTGCGGCAGGCACATGAGCCTCTTGTGTCGAGTACTGCGATTGCCGGTGCAGCGATCGATCACCGTCAGCGGCCGGTGGGATCTGCAGCCTATCGTTAGGACGACGGCCGATGAACCCATCTGCCACTCGCACCGCAGCGGACTCGTCAACCACTTGGCCCTGCAGGACAGCACAGGAGAAACACACGTGCCGACAGAGCGCATCGTCTGACGTCCTACCTGCTGATCGCTGAGTCTTTCGCGGCTTGCTAGCGGTGCTGGGTCAGACTCAGTGCTCTGCGAGAAGAGAAACACACTACACTGGTTCAGCATGTGGGTGTGTTGGGCGCACCTGTCTGCTCAGTTTGTTCACGTTGGAAAGCTCCCCCTGTGTTGGCTGGTTGATGAGGGGAACGGGCAGAGGGTGGGGGTGGGGCGGATGCACTGGGGAAGGGGAAGGGGCTGCTGGCGCAGTTGCTGCCGCAGCAGGCGCCTCTTCTGCGGCCTGAAAGAAGCACCAGATGGAGAGTGCCTTTAGTTCTGTTTTGTCTCTCACCGATGTGTGAGGTCCAGGTATGGCGTTGCTCCCAAAACGGACCCTTTCACTGATGTCATTGGCAAGAAGACGCACCTGCGGGAGGCAGACAGGTGTGATCAGATACACATCAACCACACGTCAGACACACTTACGGTATCGCTCTGTGACGCATCAGCATGAAGGGCATCCAGCTGGGGGGCCAGCAGCACAGCATCCTGATTGCCACAGACCATTCACATCCTCGCCCCTGCCTCTGCGTGCGTGTGGTTGTGTCAACGGCCAACCTCTTCTGGGATGACAGATCCCTCGTTGAGGCCTGCACGAACCGCGAGCAGGACGTCTTCAAGCGTCTGCTGGATGGACAGACACAAGCCATACACAAACAGGCGAGCTGCTCTCTTATCACAATACCTCTGGTGGATGCACGGCCGCCAGTGTGTCAGCTCCGCGCACTGCATGTATCCCTTCCTGGGCAGCCGGCTGGCCCACCGACTAAACGCAAAAGCATAGCACGCTCATGCCAGCGGCTTAGCGTCCGATGCACGCAGTGTTTGCCTACCGCCATCCCGTCGGTGCCATTGGTGCCTGCTGCAGCTGCAGCGGCAGCAGACTGGTGGGTGAGAGGAATGGGCATGTGCAGGTCCGGTTGGTGGGTAAGATGAAGGGGATGCATCGGGGGATAGAAAGACGCTGCTGCCGCAGCCGACACAGATTGCCCGTCTTCGCGGCTCTGACAACCGCACAAAATATGTGTTCAGAACACAAGAAGACGAGTATGATGTGTCGATTTCTTGTCACCTGATCGGTTTGCTTCAACGCGCCTTGCGTGTCATCCGATGCGTCGGCTCCGCGCAGTGTGTGGATCCCTTCTTGCGGGAGAGCGTTGAAGTGTTGCTCGCCTATCATGCCGTCGGTGTCAATCGGGGGAGCGGGGAGGGCACTTGCGGCAGCGGCAGCAGCAGCGAGAGGCTGATCGGTCAAAGTAACACTCTGGACAACAGGCCAAGGCGACAGAGTGGCACTCGACCGTCAACTCATCCCCCGTCTGTGTGCTGTCTTTCCCACCTGGTTATATCTCTTCTTGACGCCACTGATCCACGTGTCGCTCGCCTTGAAGCCACTGATGCCCAGACGCCCGGCGATCTCCAGCGCCTCACGGCGAATGTGCTCCACGGGGATCCTGGTCGGGTCCTCATGGCCGGCCATCCACTGGCGCAGCTCGGCCTCGATCGGCTGATAGGGCGATTGTCTGATGCGCTTCTTTGCCTTGTCGATGGCGTCTTGTGCCTCGCTGCCGGCTGTCGAGCGAGAGCGCCAGTGCTTGAACTGGCTGAGAGTGATGCCCTTCTCGAGAGCGAAGGCCAGCTGGGTCAGCTTCTCTCCCTGTGCCCTCCGGCTGTCGAACTCGGCCAGCAGCGCCTCCCTCTCGCCGATCGCCACTTCCTTTGTCGATCTCTGTCGCCGCGGGGGCGGAAGGGATGACGCCCGCTGCCTCAGCGATCCCTCTGTTGGAAGAATGGGCGGAGGCGCACCAGCCATGAGTGGGTCGACGAAGGGGAGCTGGCCGTATGAGCAAGAAGGCTGCATTGAGAGGGGGACATTGGCCAGCGAGGGAAATGGGTAGCCGGCAGGAGGGAATGCTGCGAGGTGGTCCGGTGGGGGGAATGAAGGGGGAGCGGCGGGATGACCAAACGGCCATTGGGCTGCTGGTGGGTGAGTGTCCGGTAGTGGAAGTGAAAAATGATGGCTCGACGGCTGAAGGAAGCAGACAGAGACGTGACAAAAGGTGGAATGCAGTGAGGCACTCGCCCTCTGTCTCCTGCTCACCTGTGGCATTTCACGTCCATCGGTTTGCCCATCTGGCTGCAGCGATTCACTGACTGCCTCTCCTCTGCTGACGGCCGGAACACCTCGCTGGAGCAGATTGCCCTCACTCAGACCAGCTGCAAAGACAGCACACAAGGTGGTGGGTGGGTGTTCATTCTTTGTCTGCCCACCTGAGTCAGAATCATCGTGTGCAGGTGCGCCCTGCTGGTGCATCGGCGCTTGCTGCAGCGAAGAGAAAAGACACTCAATGAAGCAGTCTGCTCACTGCTTGTCAGTGTGATGTGATTCACCACCTGGGCAGCGCTGCCATGAGTCACACGGTCAGCACCACCCAGTGCTTCACTCGGCCCACTCGGCTGCTGCTCGTCCGATGAGTAATGCTGATCTGCCATGAGTGACTGTCACGGTGGCAGACGCTCTGAAATGCAGAGCCGCCTATAGCGCCTTTTCGTAAAGGGCCTCTCGACCAGGTCGATCAGTTCGTATTTTCCTTCGCAGCTGAGCTGAATGGGCGATGTCTGGGCGGTCCCTGCAACACACAAGGCAGAGAGAGGCTCACAGAAGGGATCATGCCGAGATCGGGTGTTGTAAGCTCGCAGATCTGGCAAGGGTGCTCCCTCACCGGTCTCTCTGCCACAAGGCTCGGCGTGATGGCTGCGGCTGGCGGCGCTGATCATGATCATCTGCACTGCGGGATCTGCACCAGTCACTTGACAAGAAGTGGAAAGCACGAACCTCGGCAGCTCAGATGCGGTGAGTGAGTCAAGCATTGGGCGGGGAGAGGGCACGGAGCGCTGAGTGGCTCATGTGGTCTGCTTGCTCTGTGTGTTTTCCCGCAGGCCATTCTTTCTGCGCAGATGTAAGAAGCAGAGAGGCAGCTGCTGTTGCAGCCTCAGATCTGATGTCTGTATGATGTGTGTGTGTGTCAGTGTATCGGTGACCTCTGCCGTCATGCCGCCAACAACACCATCGCATGCCCAAACCGATGCGGGTGAGGGAGACCGACACGCCTGATGCCCAAACCAGTCATCACATGTGTTCTGGGTTTTTGTTGATCACTCTCAGGGTGACCACTTCTGCCACCACCGAGGAGGTGCCCAAGAACTACCCCCTGGCGGCCGCAGTCGAGGCGAAAGAACACCAAAGTACACACAGACATCCGCACGCGCACATACACGTGACACACGTACGACAGACTGCATGTGTGTGTGTGTAGGCCGTCAGCAGTTGGCTCTTCTCCACAAGTGCGCCACCGCTGCCCACTCATTGACACCGCCGGAGGTGGCGCAGGTGATGCTGATGTGCGGCCTCTCACACGCGATGGACACTCTGCCGAACATGCGCAGTCGTCTGCACGGCCACCTGACGGTAAGTGAGACCGACACACTCACACACGCCATCGATCAGCTGTATCTCCCCGTCTGTGTGTGGTCTGCAGTCGTTGGTTGAGGGCAGTACGGTCACCAGGCTGCACGAAATGTTTATCACCAAGTGGGCCAATGCGGGCAGCAAGTCACTCCGGCTGATCTACCGGTACAGCTGATGTCAACAACGTGGCCGACGGATGAAGCCATTGCATCTCTCTGCATGTGTGTGTGCCATTAGATCAACGCGTGATGGGCCGTCGTTCGATGATTTCCTGAGGTGTGTGGGTGACACGAAGGGCCTGGTGTTTCTCATCCGCAAGGACAAGTGCGTCTTCGGCGCCTTCATCAGTGCCGGCCTGCAGCTGCCCGACAACCCAAGAGGCGAGAACAGATGCGACTGCAATGTGTGTCATTTCTCTCTGGCGGGCCACTTTAATGAACCGACCAAGTGGCGGGAATGCAGGCAGTCAGTGTGGGTGGCCGGGCGGGAGGGGACAGCGATTGGGGCGAATCTGTGGATCGGTGGGTGGCTGTGGTTGGGCTACGAGGATGGCGCTGCTGCTGATATGCGCAGCTGCTGTTATCTCACCCCCAGCCGTTATGTGCCTGATGGCTATGTGGGGGCGAGAGAGCATGGCGATGCTGTGCTTGGGGGCAGTCAGTTCTTCATGGCCGATGAGGTGGAGGTGCTGACTGTGGTGTGACAGTGAGCTGCAGGTCAGATTGATTGATTGATTGAGTGACGCATGTCGTTTCTTGAGGTGTGTGCGGCTTTTATGAGGCCTCTTTTTCTCCCTCCGTGTCTGTCTGCGTCATCTATGTGTTGTGGTGCAGCCAAACAGTGGATGACACTGTGTGTCAGTGAGACACCTATCAGACGAGAGCCACATGGTGTGGGTCTGTTTGTACTTCGATCATGGCCTATATAGCCCCAATGTCCCGGAGGTGTCGTTCTCTGTGTGTTGTTTGCAGATCAGCCTCTGCTCGTATCTGTGTCTGTGCGTTGGTGTGTCTGATGCGGTGTCGCCTTTAGCAGTGGCCAGCCAGGATGCGACTCAGGCATGACTGTCTATGTGAAGTAGTGCAAGTATGTGTGTCTGCTCCTGTGCACTCAAAGACCTGACGACCGACTCGTGTGTCTGTCATGAATTATCGATCGTTCCATCCACACCGACTGAACAACACACCCTACACAGTCGGGTTTCCTTTTCTCAGGCAGTCTGCATCTGGATCGTGTCTCGCCGTCGTCAGGAGTATTCAACAGCCTCTTTCCCTCCGCAAGAGGCCGCACTCTCTCTCCTTCGATGTAGACTGGCGTGTCTCTCTGCATTTTGTCTGGTGAAGGTATCAAGCAGGAGACAGAGAGACAGACGGACAGACGGACAGACGGACAGACGGACGGCGAGGAAGGGAGGGAGGGAGAGAGAGAGAGAAGTACACAGACAGCATATTCAAGGCAAGGTATGACGACCAATGGTCTGCCGCGCCAAGTCAGTGAGTCACACAGAGATTTACAGATCGATAGACATACATACATGTCGATTGACGACCGATTGTATACGTACATCAGATTGACTGACAGCCGTATGTCTCTCAGAAACACACAGGACCGACAAACGATCAAAGAACAAAGAGGCAGCATAGCCCCAACACCCTATGGGCCACAACACCAGCCACAACTTGTCACTCCCCTACGCGAATGGGGCGATCAGGTAGTCAAGTCGATTGCCCTCCCCCCGTGCCAACACTGCTGCCATCTTCTGCTGCTTGGGCTGTGAGCGCCGTCGTCGCGCTCGCAGCGGCAGCAGCTGCACTAGCGCTCCTCACAGCCTTCCGCCAATAGAGGAAATACCAGGTGGCCAGAGCACCCAGCAAAGTGACGGCAATCCCCCCGCCCAACAAGGCCCATCGGCGCCATTCCGGCGTACCCTCATCGGAACTCCCACTCCCAGCCTGTGCTGTGGGAGCCGCTGAAATGAAAGACAGACAGCACACACACGTGTCTCTGAATCAGTCCATAGATAAGTGGGTGTGTGTTTGTGTGCTCGACGGACTTACAGGCTCGTGCCTCGTCCGAAATGCCGTCACCCGGTGCGATGGTGGGGGTGACGGCAGGAGGGCCTGTGGGTGGCTGCGCGATCGGCTTAGAGGGAGGGGGGGCTGAGGGGGCAGGGGGGACACTCGGACGGATCCCCTCCTCTGGCACGACCTCCGTCGGTGGAAGGAACTTCTCCTCCTCCTTTGCGGGAGGAAAAGTGGCCGGGGGAGCGGCTGTGGTTGTGCTCATTTCGACGCTTTCTTGTGTTGGCTGTGTGGTCTCGATTGGCGGCTCGGTGGTTGCGCGAAGGCCTGGAGGGGTGGTGAGAGGCGCGCTGGTCTCATTCGCCTTCAGGATCTAATCAACAACAAGAGAAGAGTTTCCTGTCCTCTGCTCTGTGTGTGTTGGGCGGAGGCGGCTCTCTGTTTTCAGCTCTCTCTCTCTTTCTTTCTGTATGTGTGTGCGTGTGAGTGTCCTTTTCGTCTGCGTACCAAATCGGGTGGCTGCGTGTCTGTCGGTGGCAGCGTCGGCAGCCTCGGAACGAATCCCTCGCCAGGATCCACCACACCAGGATCGATATTCTCCTCAGGAAGCTCCCCTTCCCCGCCCTCCCCACCCTCCCCAGGCCATCCGGGAGGATACTGTGTGTCGGTCTCGTTGTTTTCAGCCTCCTTCCATGTCTCCTCTGGGTCGTATGTGTTGTCTGGCGGGATCTCGGGCGCCTTCGTGGGGTCGGCTGGCGACTCGCACACAAAACAGGGGAGCCGGGCGCCGGGCACGCCCCAACACGACTGGGCACCCCACCTACACACACACACACACACACACAGAGAGAGAGAGGCAGAGACACGCAGACAGCCGGAGAGACATAGAGGCATTTCACCGAAAGGAAGACGCAGAAGGAGAGCAATCGGTGTGTGTTGCGAGGTCATTTGGGAGGGCTTATTACCCGTCGGTCCGGATGGTGACGCATTTCTCCTGTGGGGGCAGGATCCGCCAGATGAGGGCCAGCTCCTCGCCCCAATTGAGATAATTCGTCTCGTCCAAAGTGGCAGTGCTGTCCACCCATCGCCTGAGACACAAACAGAGAGACAGATAGACAGACAGACACACAGACAGACTGAGAGGGAGATCATCTGTCCACGTGTGAAACGAAATACATTGCGTGAATCTTTCCCCCCTCCCTCCCTCTCTGTGTGTGTCTCTCACTGTCAATCACACTGTCTGTCCCCCTTGTGTGTGTGTGTGTGTGTGTGTGTGTGTGTGGCATCACTGAGTACCATCCAGCCTTTGAAATGGGCAGTCTGTATTTCCGCAGGCCAATCCAGCACTCACTGCCCATCTTCAGCGCCTCCTCCAGCACCACAAAGTTCTCATATTCGTCCCGTATGGTCGCCAGGCTGCTGCCCTTGTCGCCCACGTCCATGCAGATCCGATTGGCCTCGGTCCAGGTTTTGCCGCCCAGTAGCCCCAGTGGGTCGCGGTCGCCCATTTGGTAGAAGAATGACTTGTAGCATCCCTCTCCTGCCTGGGTCCAGGAGGTGTCGGGGCAGCCAAACACTGCTGCATGCGACGACAAACCGGAGAGGCAAAAAGAAAAGTGTGTGTAGATGGGTGCCAGAGAGATGGGCGGTAGAGGAAAGGCCCCACGAGGGCCAATCGCATAGCAATACGCACACAGTGGTGTTTTCTCACCATGAGGGCCTCTCCATATGGACACGAGGAGCACCACAGCCGTCAGCTGCACTACCGACATCGAGAGGAAAGGAGCAGAAGGAAGTACGGATGCGCGCTTAGCTCAAGGCCCCGCTTTGCCCCCATTCGATTGATCTTTCGCTGTGGCTGCTGGCTGCACACATGTGTGCAGGTGAACGAGGCTCAGACCATCTGCCGTTGAATGACTCATTGCAGATGAGAATGTGTCTTGTGTCTTGTGTCCTTCCTTCGTGCATGGTTGTTCACATCCGTGCAGCCCTGGCATGCGATGAGAGCAGTGAGCAGCATGGCAGCTGCTCACGTCTGATGGCACACCGAGACCTCACGGATGCATGTGGCCACACACACAGATACTGACAGTGACAACCACATACACACACAACACAACTCACCTGCAACTCACATCCATCCATCCAGCCAGCCAGCCATCCAGCCACGTCGATCTTTTCTCTCTCTTCCCCTCACTATCTCTCTACTATGTCATTGGTCGTGTTGTGTGTGGCGTAGCGCACCGATAGGCACACCCGGCCGCAACGCAGATCTTGTCACCAGCACATTTGGTGACAAGAGATGCGTTCCGGCTCCGAGTGGTATCGGTAACGCTACGCACCACACACACTCACCCGACGCTCACAAGTACATCATGGCCATAGAAAACACACTGATCGAAGGAGGGCCATAGAAGTGCGTACACGTGTGTGTCATCCCTTCGTGTGCCGCCGCAGACGTCAGCGTCTTCAGCACGATTGGTCACGAGCAGCGGGTCCGCTGCTGAGAGCTAATCGCGTAGCGAGAGCTGACGAATGCGATCGACACGAAGTGCACACACTGGACAAGGGATGCGACGCGAAAAAACTCACACAAGAGTGGCATTTGGCTTTGTGTGTCCGCCTCTCTCCTCTCTCTATGTACAGATACAGATACACACACACGGACTCAGCTTACATACACAAATGGATGGCCATGATCACACGAGGCAAAAAATACACACACCGGTCGGCCGGGCAATTCACTCCACAAGAGGCCGACGTATCGACGGAAAAATATCACCGTCTGTCTGCCAGGCACCCACCCGCATTTGTACTGTACAGCTGATAAGACACTAGCCACATGGCTGCTATCGCTTTCTCTGGCGTCCGCCTGAACCCCCCACACACACAGACAGGCAGGCAGAGATATGGAGGAATGCGCGTGAATGTGTGTGTACGGTATGCCCCATCCATCCCCCTGCTCACGTGTGGGCTCAGATGCTGGCGGCCTCGCGCTGTCCGAACCCACTGAACACACAGAGACAGACAGACAGACAAGGACAGCACACGAGTATGAGAGCGCATGTACTGAGTGCGTGGTGCTTGCCTTGTGTCATGCGGCGATCTTTTGCGTCTTGGACTGACAGACACAGACGCAGACACAGAGAGGGAATCACACCACTATGGCGTGTGTGTGTGTGTGTGCGTGTGCCGGCACACCTCTGTTCTCTCTGGTCGGCGGTGTGAATGATACGTGGAGATCATGTCGGTATATCCCACCTGTGGACACACACGCGCATCTACTTCGCGAGCGTGGTGCCATGCCCTCCCTGTGCGCGTGTGGCACCTGTCCCATCAGCAGCGGTCAGCGCCACGAGGACCACCACAATCAGCAGAATGAACAACCAACGCATCTTCTCCTGACACACCACAACAGAACACAACACGCACACCACAATGTAGGCATCACGGATCACCCAATGTAGGCATGCTCATTAGTATGGGTTCGTTACCTTCTGTGTTCAGCTTGGAAGGTGTTGAGGAAATGATGTGTCGGCCCGCAGATGGATAACCTCGGCTATAGCCTAATTGGTTTCTCAATTGGTTTCGCAACAGAAGGCCGATAGACCTGTGTGGGGCTATAGGGTAACAAACCCTTTGACCCCTCGTCAAACCCTCCGGCTCTTTCGGTGCGGTGCGCAGCCCTCCTGACGGCTGTGCTGTGTGCTGAGATCTGTCGTCCTTTGGCGTCCACTTTGCCTTAATTGTCAGCTGAGGTCGGCGACACAGACGCACACACACGTGGCGAGTCAGTCAGGTCAGACAGTGAGGGAGGGACGCCTCGAGCATCGCCATGATGTCAGACGGCCGCTCTGCTCTGTGTGCTGTGGTGTGCTGTGCTGCAGATGTCTGCCTGTTGAGTGGTGTCGCGGCCGTCCGTCATGACGACAGACAGACAGACACTGCTGCAGCTGAGGGCGCCGAGGTGACTTACCGCCGACTGCACATCGAACACCGCAGCGGTGCGCAGGCAGACAGACACACACACACACACACACAGAGAGAGAGAGAGAGAGAGAGATGGGATGGATGTGACACACGACAGCGCAGAATCAGCCAACTGTCTGTCTGTCTGTCTGTGTGGTTTGTGTGGCGTGCAGGTGTGGTTGGCTTGCGGATTTGACGACTGACGATGGCCGCTGAGTGCTGCTCGTCTCTGTGTGTGAGTGTGTGTGTGATGTGTCGGCCGATGTGTCGACGACTGACTGACTCGACTTAACTGAATCGCTTTGTCCCTCTCGTGGGCTGGCCGCCCTTTGTGTGCCGCGGAGTGAGGGCACGGCTGGCGTGGTTTGTATGTGAGCTTGTCAGTCAGTCTGGCTGGAGGAAGGTGCATGGTCACATCTCGTGGGGCTTTCTACTGGGTGTGTGATGGAAGAGAGAGAGATGGCACAATTGATGGACAGACAGAGTGATTTGGTTCGGTGCTGTGGTGTGCTGGCTGTCAGACTTCATGCGGAGACCTCACACAGTGAGCGTTGATCATCACTCTCTGTGTGCGGTTGCCGTGTGGTGTCTGGCAGACTGACACCCCACACGTGAGGCACACAAAGGAAAGGCAAAGGCACAACTGAGACTCATAGTGCTGGCTGCTGTATGTGTGTGAGAGGGGGTGGCTGTCGTGTGTTGGTCGCTTTGTCAGTGTGCTCTCATACGAAGGTGTCGGTCTGAGCATCGTCATGCTTCTCCTGCTTACACTCCTCAGCGTGTCGGCCGATGAACGACAGACAAACAGACAGACAGACAGAGAGAAGGGACGATTGGCTGATTGGCTGCACAGAGAATCGCTGTGTGGTGCGGTGTTTGGGCTGCCGTCTGGCTGTGGGTTCGTCGTGTGGGACGGTTGTTCGCGAGAGTGTGTTAATCTCTCGTCGGTGCATCCGTCACACACGGGCGGCCCACAGACAGACAGACAGACAGACAGACCGACACACACACACAGACACACCGATCTGTCCGTTCGGCTGATTGGGATGAGAGAGAGTGATCTGTTGTCGCCAGCTGTGGGTGGTTCCATGTATCCTCTCTCTCCCTTTGTGGGCATCTAAAGTGCCACCAGTCAACTCTAGAGTATCAGCCCATATGTGGTGTCGGTGCTCTGGGGTTGCCGGGCGGCGACAGAGATGCCCACAGAGGAAGTCGACAGACACGCGCCAGTGCATTGTGATGATCCCATGTGCGATGATGATGTGAGCAGTGAGCACACTGACAGTGAGACGAACTCCCACACATCGATGTGTGTGTGCAGTAGTGCAGTGTATAGCTGAGAGATGTCAAGGCACACACACACACATGGATGAATGGATGGATCAGTGTGTGGACTGTCTTCTCTTACGCGTCGCTTGCGTGTGGGTGAGTGAGTCAAAGGGTGCTCGACACATCGGGGCTGACGTGGACGGGCCTGTGTCTGTTGGGTGTGGGTGCCTGGCGTACCGGTGAATGGACGCTGGATGGGCGACATCGTGGGAAGGAGAGAGAGAGGTTTGTTGGGTTCTTCTTTGGAGTGCCTGGCATCGTGTGTCGGTGTGCTGACTGTCTGCTGCACGGTGTGTACCTGACACAGTGAGTGTTCATTCTCACTCTCTGTGTGCGGTGGCCGTCGAGCGGCTCACAGACAGACACACACCATGCCACACACAGTGGCTGGCCGACTGCTGGTGCAGGTGGGTCACATTGGGTGGCCATGGATGGACTCCCTCTCTGTCTTTGTGATGTGTGATCGACGAGTGCATCGCATCGCATGTGAGGGTGTATTTTGGGTGGCTAAGTCTCTCTTGTGTGCCGACGGACGGGCGCGTGAATGAATGGAGGCCAAGTTCCTGTGTGTGTGTGGGGGTGTGGGTGTGTGGGAAGGAGAGATGAGGTGGGCTGAACCCATAAGTGAGAGAGACAGGATGTTTCTGTGTTGGTTTGCTGACTGTGATGTGCACCGCGGTCACCTGACGCATTGGGCGTTGATCATCGCTCTCTGTGTGGGGTGGCTGTCGGGCATCTCTCACACAGACCGACACAGCTGGGACAGTGCGGCTCATTGGGGTGTATGGGGGGAGGGGAGAATGCGGTCGCAACTTGACAATCTAATCAGTGCTGAATCAATGGGATGAGTTCACTCCACGGCCGTCACCCGCGGTACACACCGGCCGACACACTCCACCAGACAGTCACCACGAGAGAGAGAGTTATGGCCGGCAGGTGAGTCAGCCAGGCAGCCAGACACACTCACACATCGGCCGCAGCGTCACTTCAAAATCGGCCGGCAGCCGACCAGACTGCACCGCTCACACCCACACCCATCAGAGCCACGCCAGCCATTCGGTCACACAGCAGCAGCAGCTGGTCCACACAGTGAGCGGTGGGCGATGTGTCCTGAAGAACAAACCGATCGGCGACAGAGATGAATGACGACAGCCAGCACCCAACTTGAGATGCCCTCCGGACAACACACACACACACAGAGGGCAGGGCGACACTCAGCCACATGGCGACAGAGGGGATGTATCGCTGCGCACCCACCAGTGCGTGTTGGCTGATAGATCGGTCAGCCGCCGCCCTCCGCCTCAGCTGCGCCACCCTCACCTGCCCAAGGCACAGCACACACACAGCCATGACTGTGGTGGAGGTCGACGTGGGGGCCTCTGTGGTGTCTGCGGCTGTCTACCTCCGCTGCCCTCTCCGCTGCCGTCACCCTCATCGCCGTTGCCGTCATCGCCATCTGCACACACCCAGACCATCTTCCAAATCTATGCCACACACACAGAGAGAGGGCACGTCATCCGTCAATCCATCCGATGAATGTTTGAGTGTGTCCCTCTCTGTATCTGCACCATTGTCATTCCCCTGTTGCTGCTCTGCTGCTGCTGCTGATGCTGCTGTTGCTGCTGTTGTTGTTGTTGTTTTTGTATTTGTCCGTCGAATACGAATGGCGCCACCACCCCCAACGCCACGCGAGCCAGCTGAGTGGTGACAGGGAAGCGGTCCTTGAACAAACCGCTCTCACACACAGCCGCCTCAGTGGCCCAGACGTACACACAGGCTGCAGCCACGGGAAAGAAGAATGCTCGACATTTGAGCATCAATCAATACTCCCTCTCTCCATGTCATTCACCCTCACCGTTATTGTTTCCCGATCTGCTGATGCCAATATATGCGACGAAGGGGTGGCTGCTGTCGGTGAGCACCAGCCATCGCCAGCCACCATGTGTCCCGGCCAGCCATTGTGGTCGTGCAGCCGGCCAGCGGTGTATGGGGCGACTCGGTGAGGAGGCGATTCAAACGGCCACCACCGACACCCCTGAATAGACAGACAGACGCAAAAGATTTGTAGTATTCCCCTCTCAGCCCATTGATTCCATTAGTGTGTTACCTGTTGAGTGCAGTCCATGTGTAATTGGTCTGGTGAGTCTCTTCGAAGTGGTGGCAAACGACGACACTGACGCATCGATGAACCCCTGGCCACCGAATGACACCCATCGGCCGTTGTCGGTCGAGTACTCGATGCTGTTGCGCACCGGTGGGTCGTGTGGCTGCCGGTGCTGCTGGTACAGATGGCCGGCAGGGAGGGGCGGGTCGACCTGCAGCTCGAAGTTGGGCTCGTCGATGATGGCCCGCACCTCACCGTTGCCTTGATGAAACAGCTGCAAGCAGCTGCCGTCACTGAAGTGGATGTAGCGGCCGACCATCTTGAGCTGCGCCAACACACGGGGGGCCGACATATACGCCTACACACACGACCACACACAGACAGAGAGAGAGAGAGAGAATGAGGCCCTCTTCCTCCGTCCCGTCCCCTCCCCGCCCGTCCGTTTGCTGGCTCACCATTATGTTTGCGTGTGTGTTGATGTCAGCCCCACTGAGGGTCACAGGCAGCTCACAGTTGCCGCACTGCCCCGCCAGCTCAATCACCTCGGCCATCTCGCCCCAGTCCCCCTCCTCCACCACACACACAGCCGCCAGCAGATCATGTGTGCCGAACCGGTCGTCGTCGAACCGCAGCAGCTGCACTTGCTGCCCATTCACATTCGCCCGCCGCAGCCCCTCCTGTGAGCCCAGCGAGTGGCTGAGCCGATCTCTCAGCTGAGTTTCTCCGAAGAGCTCACTGAGCCACGTGCAGGTGGCCCTCAGCCGTACGACGTCCTTGAGGCTGAGAAGGTAGCGGCTCCTCCGGCCCACACACACATATGACACGGGGTGCTGCAGCTGCTCGTGGTGCTGCATGGGATGGATGGGTCAAGACGGTCAGATGAGTGAGGCGCTCGACGAGAGGCTGCACAGAGCGACAGGGCCGACAGGTGGTTATGTCCATCAAGCATGCTGCTCACAGATCTGTGTGCTGCTCACCTCGTTCGATGCTCAGATGGACAGATCAGAGAGAGGTCAATGATCTACCACCACCACCACCACCACCAGCGGCAGATGAGGAGGCCGCCATCGCTCCTCAGCCACACTGCACCGATGGGCCGACAGACAGACAGACAGACAGAAAGACAGACAGAAAGGCCAACGCATTCATTGAGGCCAGTGGATGAGCGCATCACTCAGTCAGTGAGCCAGTGAGTGTTGGGCCTCCCTCACCTCCGATGTCTGTCAGCTCAACGGCCCACCGGAGCAGTCGACAAGGCGCACAAACAAAACGCCGCACTTTGGCCTCTCGTGGGGCTGTAGGGTAACAAACCCTTTGACCCCTCGTCCGTCAAACCCTCCGGCTCTTTCGGTGCGCAGCCCTCCTGACGGCTGTGTGCTGAGATCTGTCGTCCTTTGGCGTCCACTTTGCCTTAATTGTCAGCTGAGGTCGGCGACACTCACGCACACACACGTGGCGAGTCAATGAGGTCAGTGAGTGAGTGAGTGAGGGACAAACGCCTCGAGCATCGCCATGTGTCTCGCGTTGGCAGGTGTGATAATATCTGCTGCGTACATTGCTCTGGCAAGGATTGCTCTCAGTCTATTTACGTGCAAAAAGGTGCCCCTGTATGTGCGTGCACCGCGCACACACACACACTGGATACATATATGAATGCGCGGTGCACGCACATGCAGCATCCATCCGGCCAATGGACCATCAAGGCATTCCCTGAAGTGTTGTGTAGAGGTAACACCCTCATTCCACAAATCATGTGCACGATTGTATGCGCGGGTCCATTTCCTTCGCACACACAGGCAATCGCTTCGCCTCTGTGTTGCCGTTTGGTGTCATCGCCATCATTCTGTACCCAATCGGCATACTGCTCTGGTTCGGGGGCGTCTGCATACGCGTAAGTGTCTATCCATGGCGGACACTCTCACACGGACATACTTCCAGAAATGCACTCTTGCACAGGCCCCGTACCGCTTCGATGACGTGAGATTCCGCACTCGGTGAGCAGAGCAACTGACAAATATGCGCACCGTCTATGCGTCCCTGCATTTTTATCTGTACGTGTGCGTATGTGTGTAGTTACAAGTTCCTTTTGTATCGGTTCACGCCCGACAAGTACTGGTGGGGCGTAGTCATACTCGCAAGGTGCGTGGATGGCTCCATGTGCATGCATTGTGAGGATGGTGTATATGGGGCTGTCTCGTCTGTCTGCAGAAACATGCTGCTGACGCTAGCAGCAGTGATCTTCCCATCCGATGGCTACGCGCAGGTCGGTCTCTGGTTGCTACGCACACACAGGGGGCATATGGATGTGCGTATACGTATGCAGGTGTACTACACGGCAGCGGTGCTAATCGTGAGTGTCGTCATGCAAGTAAGGACGCTACGCCTACACACACGGCAACAGCAGACACGCAGCTCCACACACACACATGCACACGCAGGTGTATCACATGCCCTTTCGCGACCCGCGCAACAACTACCTGGACATGATCCTCACCATGAGTACGGGCACCCATCCATCAATCCATCCAACCACACGCACATGCATGTCTCCACCTTGTGTGTGTGTGCAGTCACGCTGTTCATCATAGTGGTGGGGGTCTTCTTCATCGACTCGCAAGACCGCAAACCTGAGGCATACGCAATCGTGCTGACCGTCTCTGTCGCGCTTGCCGTGTTCGCTGTGCTGGTACGCACTGATGGACGGATGTGTCGGGGTATGGACACGGATGTGTATACAGGTGACGATTGGTTTGTCTCTGTTTGACGCCATTCACCAAGACAAGCTCAACACGGCCGAGACAATGAGAGTCAGCGCACATACAAGAGGGAGAGAGAGGGAGACAAAGCCGGATGAGAATAATCATCTCTACGTGTCCGTCGTTACTGTCGATGAGTCCAGGCGTACCGGTATGTGCGTGACATGAAGGTGATCGCCTCCTTGTTCAAGGAGGAGAGGCAGGAAGAGCTCCTGCACTTCTTCTACGACCTCACTTACAAAGAGAAAGCTACCATGGAAGTACGTGAGCACTGCACTCATCTATGTCGATGTGTCTGTGCATCTCTATCTCTCTTTCTGTCTGTCTGTGTGCAGAATTCCCTGTCTCTGCTGCACGGCGAGTTTTCTCTGCTCTATAAGGAGGCCAACGACGAGAGACGGAACCTGCTCAGACAGACCACTGAGTGGGGGAGCCACACGGACACCTGAGAATCCACACTCACATGCCTGTTTGTCTATGGTGTAGGCCGTCTCACTTCCGCACGCTCAAGTCACACATTCGCCACGCATACACACAAGGAATGGGTACGAGCACACCAACCTTTGGACACACACATGAGTGTTCACCTCTCTCTCTGTCTCAGGCCTCAAGTGTCATGACGCGCAATAAAGACGGCGCAAGAGCGCACATGGCGCGAATGAGAGGGGCACGGCCATCGGTTTCAGTCACTGACGATGGTGCTGCTTGATGCGCGGCGATGGACATTGGGACATCTCACCTGCAGCACGGAACACACACACAGAGAGAGGGGTGGTCGTGTCTGTGTTCCCGACTCATCATCGTGCTTACCTTAGTGTTTGCCTGCCCGCTGGGCACTCGGCACGCCTCACGGTGCCTCAGATCTGCCCCCCAGCGCGATCTGCACATGCGAGCTCAAGTGAAGATTGCATCGCCAAAAACACGGCATCTCTTCCATTGGATGGCTAAACGATAGTGTCAGAGGCCATGCGTCAGTTCCTGCAGCTTATCCTGTGGATGCGACCCCATTGTACGCCTTGAGAGCCGTCCTGGCCACTCGCCGGCGGCCAGCAAAGAGCAGCAGCGTCAGCGCGGCTCTCAAAGGATGCCATCGGCCCTCTCCCCCGCCCTGCTGTGGCTCTTCCTTCCCATTGCGTCATCTCGGCATCTCGAAAACACCACAGACCCGCTGCCCTCCTCCAGCACGCCCCGGTTCATTCTGTATCTCATCTATGGCAACGATCTGCCGCCGATGCAGTCGTTCGGGCAGAACGCCGCCAACCTGGCGTTCATTTTGGCGAACGAGGCGCCTTTGCCGGACTGCGATAAGCGGTGGCTGGTCAACAGGATCGTCAACCAGACGGAGAGGGACAAGATCATGGGTTTGTTTCGAGGATGTGATCTTCTGTCATATAGAGACAGATCTGTCCGACCGATTCGCTCGCTGATATCTGCAGGGATCACCACGTAGGCGAGCGGAGCTGCTTGTGCATGTGTACAGCTGCTGTGTTGCCTTCTCAGTTCATTTGCGGCCCGAGTGCGTGACTGATATGCAGTCAAGTTTAAAGTGGTATAGCCATCGTTCATTCCATGAAGGCTTGAAGGTCACAACCGACAGCCAGCTTGGTAACACAGACGACATCCACCGATCACGACATGCACAGAAGGCTACGTGAACGAATGCGTCACTGCCCGACCACCTCGCTCGGCAGGAGTACGCTTTGAAAGAATACGAGGGAGGAGATGCAGATGTGATGCCTACCGAATGACATCTCACACACACGTCATGTGCGAAACACGGCAAAGTGTCTCGTGCAGCGCTCAGTGAGACACACGCGCACGCACACACACGTAGACCACACGAGACGGATCGATAAAAAAAGACACCCATGTGGAAACACTTACCGCCAGGCGTTTTTCCCACGTGTAGCACCTCCATCTCGTCACCCATGAACCTATACGATCCACCCAACAGAGCATCGCCCAAGTAACCCCTCTCTCCCGTGTATCCAGCAGGTGTTCGTCCACCGTCATTGCCACTCCAACCCAACTCCAGTCGCCGATCGATCCCTAGACTCGCACCACTGCATATCGCATATACCCAGACCACACGACATATCGATAAAATACACCACATCCAGCAGCAATGTCGACGACAGAAGCCACATACAGCCAGGCACATCCCTGTCCCTCCCTCGCTGCCCCGTCAAGTGCAGCACCTCTATCTCGTCAGCAACGAATCGCTGCGACCCACCCAACACTGCATCGCCATCATCATCCGTCTCCCCCGTGTAGCCCTCAGGAACCCATACGCTGGGGATGTACTGATAGCACCTCTGGATGTCGGCTGCAGGCCGGCCACTGCCATGGCGGCCCCAACCCAGACGCAGATGCGCACCGATCAACGCATTAGCACCAAACACATCTCCCTCCCTCCCCGCCACCTCACATGTATAGCCCGCAGGCACACCCCCGCTGTTGGTCCACTGATGGCAGCTGCGGGTGTCGGCAACAGGCCGGCCGCCAAAAAGGCTACCATAGCTACCCAGATAGCCCAGCGGCCCTCCCTCTTCGCCACGTGCACAAACTGCACACAATGTGAGATGTCGATCTTGGTCGGTGTGGCCGAAAAACCACACATCACACTCATACTCGCCACCCATTCCCCTCACTTAGTCCATCACGTGCAGCACCTCTATCTCCTCCACCATAAACTCACGCGACCCACCCAACACCGCATCGCCAATGCTGTTCCTCACTCTCATGAAGCCCGCAGGCATATAGTCGCTGCCGGTCCACTGATAGCAGCTGCGGATGTTGGCTGCAGGCCGGCCGCCGTAGCCAGCATACCCTAACAACAGACGCCCGTGGATAGTCAGACTCGCACCATACACACTTCCTCCCTCCCCGCCACCAGCACATTCACATAGTGATCCATTCGGGGGATGTCGATCTTGGTGGGTGTGGGGAAGTGGCCGGTCAGGGAGAAAAACCACAGAACACAGCGGTAGAAATGGCTCTCGGTCGGATTGTCGGGCAGCTGGATGCCCACCGCTGTATATCTTCAACGAATTGTGCTTCATCAGCTCCACAGACAAGAGCTGGCTCCAATGGTTGATGACGCTCTCACGGAAGACTCCATTGTCGACAGCAAAGATCGCCGCCGGGCGGGGCTTGCGCTTGGCGAGCATCTTCAGGAATTCCGGGGTCTTCTCTTCCCACCTTCCGAATGTCTCTGCAGCGAGGGGGACGAAGCGAAAGCCGGCCGCTCGCGCGGCAGGGCCGTACTTGTCGATCTTGTCCTTCTCCGTGAGTGCTGCTGCTTTGCCACCCGCAGTTGCGCACCACGCCGATTCACCGTCCGGTGGAAAGGGATAGTGGAGGCGTCAGGGCGGTAGGGGTGGGTAATGGTGATATTGAGGAGATAGTCCTGGCGGTCGATCACACAGCAAATGTCCATGCGCTGACTGTTGAGGTCGCTGTCGAGCGGCGTAATGCCGAGGTTGTGTAGGGCGCTTCAACGTTGGAGGGGACGTCCGCCTCCACCAGGATCTGGACCAACAGGTTGCGCATGTTGTTATGTCTCAGAATCCGCTCGCGACCAGTGTGGCAGACGAAGTAGTGATCGTCAAAGTCGTCGACCTTCCCATCGCAGGGGAGGAAAAATGGGGGGGCTACCGCTGACGAGCCGTCGAAAGCAGGGGCTACCGTTTGGATCCAGGGTAGGTCAAGGAAGGCTGTAGGCCCGCCTTGAGGTATCCACGGGGCAGCTCGGAAGTGGTTGAGGACGTCGGTTGCCGTCATTCCGACCGAACCCACAAAGGGTACACACGCAATCGTCACTGTCAAGATGAGGCCGAAACCTCCCAGGCGGTTAGGCAGCTAGACTTACGCCGACACCGACTCAGGGAAGTCGCTGTGGAAACGAAAGATGCGCCTGAAAGCGGTGATAATGGCGGCGTCATGTCGCTCGGCGGATGGCATAGAGTTGTCGGAGCCAGGGGGAAGGAGGCGCAGCCAATAGTTCAATCGGGATGATGCGTAGTAGCGGAGGAGTAGGCCCGATCCTGGCAGACCCATCTAAGCGAACATCACGATGGCCTCAAGCGGTGGCTTGTGGCCGTCGAGTATCTTATCCAGGCCGCGCCGGACGGAAGGGGTGGTGCCAAGGGGACAGCCGAGGACGGTAATGCCTTCCGCAGAGCACTCGGCACCAGACGCGGCGATCTCGGCAGGAACGTCAGAGGGTTGCTGCCAGCGAGGGCTCCAGGCAGCGCTCTTATCTCGTCGCAGCTTCAGCTTCTTCTCCGCCAGGAGCCCCTTCGCTCTGTCCACGTATCTCGTCTCACGTATCTCGTACACATGGCCATCACACGCTGACTGATTGCCTGTCTTGTTCCTCGCTCTCGGTGTCTACCTACATACTCTCAGGCTTGCGAGTGGGCAGGGGATGCGTCTCGCCCGTGTGCATGTGCGTGTTTTCATCGCCAACGTTGCCACCGCTGACAGGTCCGGCCACCGGCTCTGTACCTGCTGCTGCCGCTGCTCTATTCGTTGGTATGCTGGGGGCAATTGTCGGTGCTGCTGAGGTGATGGTCTCACACAGATACATTCATGCCCCCAATGATTGAATCGGTTATTTCTCGGCTGTTTCTCCTCCTTTTCGGATGAGGGAGCGTGTATCGGACTACCCCAACCCCCCCAGTGACCCTCATCCCGCGAGACGGCGGCGGGCCCCCCTGTTGCGCATGCAACGCGAAAGGGACGTCTGCGCTGTCCTCATGCAGCCGGAAGTGTGACTGCCGGAAGCACAAGCGCCTCTGCACTAACTGTGTCAATTGCAAGCGCGGCACGTGCACGAATTTTGCGTATCCCGCGGGCCCGGCCGTTTGCAATGATGATGATGATGAATCGGATGCCGTCTCCCCCTCTGCTGGCCCTGCCGTGCCCTCCACGGCTTCCTTTGTCGATGAGAAGATGCGTGAGGCCTTCGGCGAGCCCCTCGTCAACTCCGCCGGTGGACCGACTTTCCCTGAGTGGGAGGCATATCACGAGCGGGTCTGCCAGCTTCGACTGCGGTGCGTGAAGGATCTCAGCAAGCTTGGCAACCTTGGTCGCGCCATCGCCGATGCCATCGCTGATGAGGTGGAGAAGATCTCCAAGTTCGAGGCCGTCCGAGCGGGCTGGCGTCTTCGTCCGCACACTCATCCAGCGAGATCCGGATGTCAAGAGGAAGCGCGATGTCAAGCGGATGCTCTGGAGGCGGCTGGAGATGTGGCAGAAGGGGCAGGTGGAGGAGCTTGTGTGCGAGGCGAAGCGACTGGACCAGCAGTTCTCCACCGCTCAGCCTCAGCTGGACGACGCGTCGGTCTATCGCATCTTCAACAAGCTCATGCTCGAGGGCAAGATCCGGGCGGCCGTCCGCTTCGTCACCGAGAGGGGCGGCGGGGGGTCCTCCACCCATCTGCTCAGGCCGAGAAGCGCCCCCCGGGGGTCACGGTGCTCGATGTCCTTCGCAAGAAGCACCCACCATAGTAGCAGCCGCATGAGGAAGCCTTCCTTTCGTGTGACGACCTTCCTCCCCTCATTGACGTGAACATCACGGACTCGACCGTGAAGCGAGCGGTACGGTGCCTCAGTGGGAGCGCTGGACCGACCGGTGGCGATGCGAACTTCTGGCAGACCTTCCTCCTTCGATACGGTGCCAAGAGCGGCCGCCTCCGCGCGGCTGTGGCCTCGCTCGTCTCTACCCTG